GCAGGTGTGCATATAAGGGCGCGGTTCGGCATGCAGGTCCGCATATGCAGGGCAACAAAATGTAGCCGTTTCGCCAAGGCCTAGGCCTTTGCTATGGGGGAGTCGTAATGCAGGGTGGGCGACGCAGCGCGCGCGTGAAAGCAGGGTGGGCGACGCAGCGCGCGCGTGAAAGCAGAAGGCGGTGCTGCACATCACGACTGCCACTGTACAGGCATACTCCAGGCGTCAGAGACATCCATGCTGCCTCGTCTCCTATCCGCAGGCCAGGTGCTTTCATGCTTCTGCTCGCTGCTGGCTGCACCCACCCTGGGGTGCCTCAGCCTGCAAGCAGGGAAGGTAGCTGGCCTGAGCTAGGTGGCAATACATTCACCGTCCAGCTGCGTGGACCGCCCAATTATCTTGGAAAACCACAGGTAGACCATTCCTCGCAGGTACCTTACACACAAATCATCGCGTCCGTGCGTCGGGATCGGAGTTTGCGACAGGGCCCGGGGCCGTAAAAGAGTGCTCAGGACGCCGTCAGTAGAACTGGAGTGTAGTTGGGTGCGTGGCATAGTGGGCACGTGGCCTTGCGTAGAGCATACCGTACAATTGCAATCAGCACACACAGTAAGAGTGCGCGCTCCGCTCGCGATGCGCTTGATGGTTATTCCAGCCATCCCTTGTCCTGCTGTCTCACTAAAGCGCGCCACTTGCGCCGCCTACCGATGCAGCACGCCACGATCGCACCGTGCCGTCGCCCAATGGAGGCAGCCTTGCGACAGCTGCTGTCATGCGTCGACAGCGGCCGCCGCGACGCCGCCAGCGCGGCGCTCGTGAGGCTGCAGCACGCGTGCCGCGCAGCCGCAGAAACTGGCTGCGCCGCGGCGGTTGAGGTGCCCGGCGAGCGCTCCTTGGACCGACTGCTGCGGCACCTGTCCTTGGCCGGCGGCAGCGCGCGGGCGACCAAAGCGGACTTCAACACATCCCTGACCGCCAACCGGGCGCTCCTGATCCTGCTGAACGTGCGAGCAGTGGCGGACGCCTTTCTGACGGAGGGTCGCGTGGCCGCCCTGGTCGACACACTCGAGGCGCTCGATGGCGGCGAGGAGGGCGGCAGCGGCGGCCGCGAGGGCATCTCGGAATTGCGGCTGTGGCTGCTGACCGCGAATCTGGCAGCCGCGGCGCTGCACTTAGGTCTTCAACGCAACGGGCCCACGGGTGGCGACGTCGACGGCGGCGGCGGCCCCATCAACCCCGCGCAGCTCGCCCTGGCTGGAGTCATTGCGCGGCCGGCTGCCGTGCGCGTGCTTGTGCGGGCGGCGCACACGCAGCTGTCATCAGAGCTGTCTGCAGGGGACCTTCTATCGCCGCTTGAGCAGGCATTCTTGGCTGCAGCTTTCTTGCGAGAGCGGGCTACGCCAGCCCCCCACGACACGCCGTCAGGGCCCTCGTCCTGCGCCGCTGACCTGTTTGCCGCAGCGCGCGCGGCGTGGCAGGGCGCCGACGCCAATTGGCTCTGCGAGGCGCTGCCGCCGCTGCTGGCGATGCGACTGGAGGAGGCCAGGCAGCGGCAAGGGACAGGGCCCGGCGGAGAGGCGCTTGAGCCGCACGCTGCTCTGTTCGTGGCCTTGCACTTGTGCGCCGTGGTCGGTCCCCTGAGCAGGGCCCTGTCTTTGCACGCGGCCGCCATGCGCGCGGTCGCAGCGTGCATTTGTCGGAGCGGAGACATCCGCCTGGCCAGGTCATCGTTGGTCATCCTGACCGGCGCGCTCGACGCCTGGCCCTGGGGCCACGAGGGCGCCGGCACAGCGCTCGCGGCTTGCTGCCAACCCGACACTCTCGGGGAGCTGCTGCGCACAGCCGCCCTTCGCGGCACCCGCGGCGGCAGCGGGGTGGCGGCCGGCACGCCGGCGAACCAGGAGATGTTTCCGACTGTAACGGATGGTGGTTGTGCAGCGCAGCTGCTGGCATCGATCGCGGCCCACGAGGCGCTGTCCACGCGGCCATCCAGCATTGCTGCAGTGCCAGCGACCGCGGCTGCGGCGGTGGCGAGCCTGCGCAATTGGCTAGAAGTGGACGGCGCGCAGATGGCTTATGGCAACATGCCGCGACTCCATCAAGTCTGTGTGATGGTGCTCAGCGTTGTTGCTGGCGGCGGCGCCGATGGCGACGCATGGGCGGCCACGTTGTTGCGCCTCGGAGCGCGGCAGCTGCTGATGCGCGCCGCGGCCGAGCTAGGGCCAAGGGCACCCGAGTGGTCGGCGGCCGCATCAGCAGCACTTTACGCCGTCACACACGCAGCGCACGCATCACATCAGCAGCAGCAGCAGCAGCCTGCACAAGGCGGCACCACCAGCGGGCTTGAGGAAGGTGAGGAGGAGCAGGGCGCTGTCGCCGCCTTGGTGGATGCTGGGGTTTACGCGGTCCCGCAACTGCTCTTGCTGGCGGCCCTGCGTCCCGGCTGGCGGTCCTGGCTGATCCAGGAGCCAGACATACTGGAGCTGCTGTCGGCCGTGGCGGCTGCCCCTGACCAGGGCGAGTACAGCCACAAGGCCCTCCGCACCCTCTGCCTGCTGGCTGCGGGCGCGGCGCCGTCGGAGCGCCTGCCAAACTTTGCGCGGGCTGTGCTGGAGGTGTGCAATGAGCGGCCGGCGGACGTGTGGGCCGGAGTCCCTGAGCTGGACAGCGATGGCGGGGCCGTGGAGGAGGTGTTGGGGTGCCTTGCGGGCTGCCATGAGGCAGGCAGCAGTGTGGGTGAGCGCGCTGCCCTGGCTCTGACCCAGCTGAGGATCGGCAAGCTTGGGTTGGTGCAGCCCCCATCGCAACAGCAGCAGCAGCAGCAGGAGGAGGAGGAGCAAGACGTGCAGCAGCAACAGCAGCAGCACCAGCCGCGGCCACAGCCGCAACAGCACCAGCAGGAGGACAAGCCAAGCATGCAGCAGGCGCCAAACACAGGACATGCAGGGGCTATGAGAACGGCGCGCCCACATAGTGCATGCGCTGTCTGCGGCAGGACGGCGCGAGAAGGCGCCAAACTGCGGCGCTGTGCCGGCTGTGGCCGTGTCACGGGGACGCGGTACTGCAGCCAGGAGTGCTGCAGGACGGACTGGGTGGTGAGGGGGCACCGCGCGGTGTGCGAGGCGGCGCGGCGGGGCCAGGAGCCGTGAGCCTGGAATCGCAAGTTGCCGGTGAAAGATCTGGTGGGTAGCATCTCCGATTTTGAACTGCGTTGAAACAGGAGCGAGGGGCCTGTTTAGTCCTAGCCTACAGCCCACCCAGCACTGCCCTACCGTTGAAGCAGCAGAACCCAATCTCCTTGTGCTGTGCTCTTGTGCGTGTGTTTGATCCGCCCGGGATTTTTGGGAAGCTGCGCTGGTGTCGAGGAGAGCCGCGCCAAGCACAGCCTCGCTTGTGCACGCCGCCGTGCCTAGTGTGCAGTTTATATTGCAAGGCAGCCATTGCCAGGTGGCTTGCCTGGGCTGTTGGAGCGTGTGGGCATGCAAAAGGTGGATGGCAAAGCGTTGATTTACCCAGGTGACTGTTGGTAGGGCGGCCATTGCACGCAGTGCAGCGTCCGCACCAGCACGTGCAAAATCTCCACCGGAAGGGGAGCAGGCGGCGCGAGGCAGCACATGCTCTAGCATCAAGGTGGGCCCACGCGTACTGAGGGCTAGCCCTGACGGACGAATCAATCGATAAGCGAGCAAAAACGGCAGAAGGCCGCGCGGTCGGAGGGACAGGATGGCACATAGAGAGCAGGCACCTGCCGGCGGGTTTGGCGCATGCGCGGCAGCGGGACACTTGGGCGAAGCTGGCGGGTGCGAGCTGCACATGGCAGATATATAACGGCACAGGCGCACGCCAAGTTGCAGGGGCGCGAGGGCAGGAGGGCGCCTGCGGCCCGGCGGTGCGCAATAGCTGGCAGTTTTGGCTGTGAGAACAGCAGCACACAGATGTGAGGGACCACGGAGGCTGGCCTGAGTTTGGGCAATCGCCGACGACGCCGTTGGGGCGATCGCCGACGGGTGATCAGTCATATTTGTAAGCACGGGTGCGGCCGCCTGAAGCGTCGCACTAAAATGGCAAGGCGGCGCGAGCCGCCCGCAGGAGCTGTCGCCCTAATACCCAATACCGACGTGTGTGCCATATCCAGTCGCGGGTCAGCTGACCAGTCTCCCGCCTCACGACGCCGCGACCGCGCCGTCGGCCGCGGCCGCGCCCCAGCCCAGCGCGCGCGCGGCGCCGCCCAGCGCCGCCCACCAGCGCCCGGCCTCGGGGCCCAGCGGCGGCGCGGCTGCCGCGGCGCCGTCCTTGGGGGGCGCAGGCTCCTCCAGCGCGCGCTGCAGGGGCGGCCACTCGCCCCAGGCCTGCTCCAGGCGGTCGGTGGGCAGCGCCTTGTCCTTGCGGCGCTGCGGATGACGTGATACGTGTGTGTGTGCGTGTGCATGTGCATGTGCATGTGCATGTGTGTGTGTGTGTGTGTGTGTGTGTGCAGCGGGTGTCGCGAGGGCGCAGCGGCATGTGGAATGGGTTTGAGCTTGGCGGTCACAACGCTGCGGAGAGCCCTTGTGCCCGCGAGCGCACCCAGTTGGGGGTCGTCGCGGCGTGCGGCGAGCCGCCCGCTGCATGCAGGCCGGCCTTGCAAAGAGCGGCCCCCAGCTGATGGAGCAGTCAGCCGTCAAGAGCCCGGCCCAAGCCCCACATTCCCCCCGGGGCCGCGCGCCCGTCAAAGGACCGTGAAACACCCACGCACCCACACACTCTCACACACACACACACACACACACATGCACACACACACGCCCAGCCACCCACAGCACCGCCCCAGCCCCCACCTTGAGGCCGTACATGGAGCCCTCCAGGTCACCATCCGCCACCGCGTCCTCAATGCTGTGCTCCGGCACCCCATACCTGAGGATGAGGCGCAGAGGGAAGAGGTATATTTGTATAAGTGGCTGTGCGTAAAAGGGTAACATGAATACAAGGGCGTGCATTCGATCATGTGTGTGGGTTTTTTT